CAGAAGGAAGTGCATTTGAGATGGACTGGAAGTTTTCATTGTGCAAATATGTCACCTGTGGAAGAGTAATAACGATAAAATACAAACCTGTGGTGTAATAAAATACTACTTCAGATAAAACAATATCTTACATCAATGAAGACTCCAAGCACAGCAAGGCCAGTTGGGTCTTCAAGCGCGGACGTCAAATTTGGATGTGTGGATTTGATGTTGACTATGTGCATCTGCGCACAAACATGGACAAACATTACAAAAAGTGTACACATCATAAACAGCTTAGAGATATGGACAACGTGAAGCCCCAAACCTCCATAGGAAATCTCAGGTGGTCCAAGGTGTGTTCAGAACCATTTGAAGACACACTTCCCCAATGGAAATGCAGCTGGATGGTGCGGTAAGTTCCAGGAAGCCCTCCGCCACTCACCTGCATACCGTTACCCAACTCCAGCACAACTACACACAGAGACAATACTTCAATAAAATGCAGCTACACCTTGAAGACGTCCAAAACGTCTTTCTAAAGGTCAATAGTCACTTACCAGAGTGACCCTGGTTTGTCAGCCACCATTGACCTTTAAGAGTCAAATTAAAACCCTCCAGGTGCAGAGAGTCTAAAGATTGGTTCTTCATCAGCTGATGGTCCAGGTTGATGGGAGAGTGATGGCTCTCCAGAAGAGGATGGCAAGAGGGGTAGTTATCTCCCCATGCATATGGATCTATCAAGAACAGTTTAATGTTGTTTTACGTCATGACAATAGTAGCATTGAAAAAATGAGTTTGTCCTTCTGAATGAATTCCAAAAAGAACAAGCCACAGATCAAGAACTCACCACAGTGCTCCTCATCATAACAGAAGTCTGAGGGAAAACAGTTAAAAAAGTCTTTATCAAAGTTCATCAAATCACTTATTTCAGTCAAAGGCATTGAACCTAATTCCTTAGAATTTAAAAGTGAAAAATAATAGCTTTGGAAACTCAAAGTTTTGCCCAATGAATGTATCAATGAATCATTCGTCACTCACCATCATCACTGTGTGCCAAAGAAACCACGGACAACATCAGCATCAGAAGTAACATCATGACCTGAAAATGAATCAAAATGTTCCCACTGGTCTTACACCACAAAAAATACTAAATGCAAAGCAAACGGGGGTTTAAGTAGTGATCTTCTTGAATGGAGGTAGGATGTCAGGTTTTTTTCTCTGACTGTGCTCATTTGAGCGCGTCGTTGCCGCTGCGCTCGTCCACAGTCTCACACAAATAACTTTTGTTGAACGAGGAACCAGAGAACGAACACTGAATATATGCAATGAACAAAGCAGGGACATTTTGTGTTATATATAAAATAATGCAAATGGAATGTTTAACAAATCAAATGTGGGGAATTAATCTAACAAATATTTTAACAATAATTAGAACAACAACAACAATAATTACTATTAATATATATAATAACATTATTTTAATAATACTATTATGAATAATAATAATAAATATTAGTTCACAGAGGCTCCAAACAAATCCAAGTCAGATTTTTTTTAAAGAAATTTATCATTTATTCAGCAAGGATGCATTAAATTGATTAAAAGTGACAGTAAAAGGTTACAAAAAAAATCTATTTCAAACAAATGCTGTTCTTTTTATACTTAAGGATGCATTAAATTGATTAAAAGTGACAGTAAAAGGTTACAAAAAATGTATTTCAAACCAATTCTGTTCATTTTATACTTTCAATTTATCAAAGAATCCTGAAAAAAAATGATCATGGTTTGCAAAAAATATTATGAAACATCTGTTTCTAACATTTATAATAAATTCCTGAGCATCAAATCAGCATATTAGAATGATTTCTGAAAGATCATGTGATACTGAAGACTAATGAAGATACTGAAGTAACAATGCTGAAAATTCATCACAGGAATAAACGAAATTTTATTAAAATCGAAAACAGCTGTTTTGAATTGTAATCTTTTTTTTTTTAAATTACTGCCTTGGTGAGCAGAACAGACTTCTTTCAAAAACAACTTTTCAAAAAATCGCGCCCAAACTTTTGAATGCTTACGCATGAATGATTTTGTTTTTTGATGCCACATAATTTTCTATTTTTTAAATATATATATATATATATATATATTTAATGCAATGATTTAATTTATTAAAAAAACTTGACCTCTAACACTTGCACACTCTATTCTACTACTTTTTTATTTAAAACAAGGACCCTCTAACACTAGCGTTTTTTTTTCTATTCCATCTACTTGTTTTATTTTTATTATAAAAAATGACCCTCTAACACTAGCATTCTCTTCTTTTTCTATCCGATCTACTTTTTTCTTTTCATTTACTATAAAAAAAAAAACTTTGCTACATGTACTGTGTTAAGAGTAGCTAAGACTTGTCACAGCATTTACATATTAGTGCTCTTTTGTTGGTTTGGATTGCTTGTATTGTGCTCATTATAAGTCACTTTGGATAAAAGCATCTGTTAAATGACTGAATGTAAATGCAATGACATTTTAAAATGTCTAAATACATTTTGGGACCACTGTGTACAATATGTAGTTCTTATGAGACAATGCATCTCGTCACAATCGTGAAACAGTAAATCCTTTATTTGGGAATCTCACAACTATGTCACCGATGTCTAATCTCTCAGGGAGCGAGAATTCCCAGGAGGCTTGAGGAACGGCTTTCACATCAGAGAACTGAGTGCTTCCTTACATTGGGGATCCCCCCCCCTTTGGCTCACATGACATTTAAGAGTGATGGATTTCCACGACGGACAGGGAAATCTCTGAGAAGGCATTAAAACGTTCAATGGAGTCATTCTGGATTCGAGTCATCACGCTCAAAAGAATCAAATAACACGCGTTATGAGATCTCAAACCCACCATCGTCATCTGAAACAAAAGGAACACAAACACGACTGTCCTTCATGGTACAATTTATTTGGCATTTGATTAGATGTACATCTACTTCAGAGAAAAACTAAAAA